CCTACCTTTTTACCCTCTAAAACTCCTAAGTTGAATCTAATGTGCTTCTTGGCCAGAGGCTACCGACAACTCTCCTCATCTGCTGGCAAAAGTCCCTGCGCTGTTTGGAATTGCAAGCCAACCTAGGGCCTGGTCTCATGGACTGCCATGGGTACAAGGATAGACCTGAAAGCATCATTATTAGCTGGTCTTCCCCACACCCACCTCCCTACAGTTTAGGCCAGGATCATTTGCACTTTAATAATAGTATAGTTGATGCTTCAGCCCCTCTGGCTTTTCTTCTGTTCTTTAAAACCATCTGAATCAAAAAGCTGGTGGTAAGCGTTGTCTATGTGTAACGTGTACATTTTACCTCTTACAAAACCCTTTTAAAATATGCTAATAGACACATTTGTACATTTGCTCAAGAATTCTGTTGTTTAACCCAAACTAAACTTGTTCTGAATTCCAGATTTAATACTTGAGACCCATTGGAAGGATCTTTCTATTTGGTAATCTTCCTAGTACAGAGAGACATTTGTGAGTTGACTTACTGATACTTAGCAAAGAAGTAGAATTTTTCCCCCCTCAAAGGTCTAGTCAGGGTAATCCCACTTAAAAAAAAAGTCCCTGCAAAAATGCAACCGTGGCTTGATGTTTTACCTGTAGAATAGAGTTCAAAACTTCAAGATCGTTTTAAAGGGTCTGTAGTTAAGGAACTTATTGATAAATATTAAATACTATAGACTTCAGAATGGCTTACACTTCAACATAAAGAAAAAAAAATCCTTAAAACTAGACCAATTAACCACATCATGATTAATGAAGAAAATCTTGAAGTTGTCAAGGATTTCGTTTTACTTATATTCACCATTAACAACCATGGGAGCAGCAAAGAATCAAAAGACATATTACATTGGGCAAAACTTCTGCCAAAGCTCTTTAAAACATTAAAAAGCCCAAGGTGTCACTGAGGGTCCCTGTGGGACTAAGGTGTCCCTGACCCAAGCCAAAACCAAACCATACTAAATGTACTGCCATTGAGTAGGTTCTCAAAGAGAACTCTGTATAGCTCTATGTAAATCTTTATGGGAGCAGACAGCCGTATCTATCTTCCATGAAGCAATTGGTGGGCTTGAACCACTAACTTTGTGGTTAGGAGTCCCAATGCCTAGCCACCAAGGCTTCCGAACTCAATAGTATTAAGTCAGTTCTGACTCAGAACAACCCTATGTAAGACAAAGTAGAACTGCCCCTGTGAATTTGCGAGGCTGTACATCTTTATGAGAGGAGAAAGCCCCCTCTTTCTCCCATGGAGAAGCTGGTGGAATCAAACCACCGACTTTGTGGTTAGTAGCCCAATTCAAAGCACATTGCACTATCAGGGCACCTTCACCAGGGCTCAGCTACTGTATTTTAAGTCATCGTATATCCATGCAAAAGCTGGCCAATGAATAAGAAAGACTGCAGAAGCACTGATGCCCTTGAATTAGGATGTTGTTGAACCTTGACTGTGCACGCCATGGCCTGCCAGAAAAGCAAACAGAAAGCAGGCAAAAGGGTAGCCAGAATGCTCCTTAGAAGCAAGGAGGCAGGACTTAATCTCATGCACGTTGGCCCTGTTATCAAAAGGGTCTTGACTCTGGAGAAAGGACGTTACGTGTGACAAAGTAGAGGGTCAGCGTAAGGGAGGAGGACCCTCACAAGATGAAATGACGACGGCGCAGTGGCTGCAGCAGTGGGTGAAGCACAGCAGTGATCATGACGAGGAGGCAGGACACTGGGCGGCATTTCCTTCTAGTCTACAGAAGGTCGCTTGGGGGTCGGAGCCCACTTGACAGCACCCAGCAGCAGGAGCAGTGTCCTTCTCCTTTTCTCCGACACCCAGGGGGATTGCGTGTCTGCCTCTGAGTTGAAATCCATAGCAGAACAGGCCTCCTTAGACTGTCAAATTGCCATTCCAAACGAACAGTGCCCAGTACAGGGAAAGACCGCTCTCCGTATAGCTTAGCCTGGGGCAAGGGGAGAAAGTGAGTCCTTCAGGCAAATAGGAAACTTCATGTGTTGCTTTTAGACATTAAGAAGCCCCATAGTGAGATCTCACCATTCAATTATTCCACGTTTTCCTCATGGATTCTTGAGGCACAGCATGACCAATCACATGGCCTGTTCACTTTCTACATCAAAAGAATAATTAGGAAGTTGCCCATCCAAGCTGCAATGAGGTCCGTTTCACACCTACCAGGTTGGCATAGGAAAGAAGTCTGACTGTGTCTAGCATTGGCCGCGTTTGGGGCACAAGGACTTGCACTCAATGTTGATTGAATGCAAATTGGCACCATCACTGTGGAGAACAGTGTGGCTAGCCTAGTGCACCCGAGCATGTACACTATGGCCGAGAAATTCCACACCAGGCTACATACCTACAGCCGTCTCTTGTCCATCTACAGGAGGGTACAATGACATCCAGCAAAAATTTGCAGCAGAACCACTTAGAAAACATTAATCAATATTCAGAATGATATTGTCTATGGACACACCAATATATGTTTGTGGCAAGTGTTTATAGACCTGCATGGAATGCTGAACACTAAGCCCAGGGTAGCGGTTCCCTTTGGGAAGGCAGATGTGGGCCAGGCAGAATTAGCTGTGTAGCCCGTGTGTACTTTCTTGGGCTGCATCGTCTAAGTCTTTGTATTTGTGTGTGCGTCCTGAGTGTGGCACCATGGACGAAATACAGCAGGGAAACTGCTCAGAATATCTGAAGTATGATGATGGCTGTAAAAACACCCTCATGGTAGAAAAAAAACACACTGCACGTTGTCTCAGAAGCACCAACTCGCCTGCTTTTGCTCCAGTCCTCTGCCTCCTTTTGAAACCAGCCTGAGGCGTCCTGTGTAGATCTGTACGTGCCCGGGACCTCCCGGGTCTCACCATCATTTGGAGCTCAATTCTGCTTTATCTTCAAATTTCCTATTAGCCACGATGTCTTTCAGTCGTTTTGCCAACCAAGCGAATCCGCCAGGTTGGAGGTTGGCTCCCGCGGGCCTGGGAGTTCTGGTCCTGAGGCATCAGCTGCGTTGGTCTTCCCCTGCAGGTACTGTCAACGGGAAGTACTGCTGCCCTCAGCTTTTCATCAACCACAGGTGTTTCTCAGGCCCTTATCTCAACAAAGGAAGAATCGCCGAGCTGCCTCAGTCGGTGGGACCAGGCAAATGTGTGCTGGTTCTGAAAGAGGTAAAGTAAAGCACTTTCATCATCACAATTTGCGTAATAGTACAGTCTTTATATGACCTTTACGGTGTGCATCTATGTAAGAAGTTCTATTAATGCTCGTTTCTCTCAGCCTTGTGGACTAGATGCTGGTATGTGGAGTTGAAGTCTTGGTGTTCCTTTCTTTGAAAGGCTCACAGTCTAGTGGGGACCGGGGGTGGGGGTGGGGGTGCACAGGACACCTCCATCCCTCTCCATGAGCTGTGGGAAACTGCACTAGGTTTGGGAAGATAGATGAATGATTGTGGAATGAAGGTTTGGACTGAAGAGTTAAACACGGTTTTTCAGAAGGAGTGACATTTAAAATAAGCCCTTCAAGAAAACAAAAAACCTCACTGCTGTAGAGTAGATGCTGACTCATGGCTTCCCCATTCGGATTGGATAGAACTGGCCCTGTGGGTTTCCACGAGCGTCACTCCTCTCTCAGAGGGGCTGGGGATTTGGACCTGCTGACCTTGTGGATCGCAGCCCAGCGTGAACTCACTGTGCCACCAGGCCTCCGGAGCAAGCCCAGGCAGGCAAAAGGAAAGTCATGAGGCAGTATATAGAGTATTGTTAGAAACTGGTGCTCTTCAGTCTCACGCCCTTCGGACTTGTGATCAGGAGAGACTAGTCCCTGGGACAGGACATAGTGCTTGGCACTGTAGACAAAGGTCATCCCCAAAGAAGGAAGGTCCTCAATGAGGTGGATTGGCATGGTGGCTGCAGCAATGGTGTGGAACCTAGTGACGATGGTGAGAATGGCGCAGGATAGGGCGGTGATTTGCTTTGATGTATAGGGGTCCTTTTGAGTCTGTGCAGACCCGCTGGGGCCCAACAACAGTAGCCATGGCCATGCGCTCTTTCAGTCCTTGGGAGTGGTGATTCATATGATCTTACATTGTTTCTTATCCCGGCCAGTACTCGGTACAATGACCTATGGGTTGGAGGTACATGATAAACGTACAGGTGGCTTTCAGGTATACCCATAGAGTTTGTGTCATAGTCCTTGTGGTGGTATGATTTTCCACTCTCCTTCCTGCTGTTAGGAGGCAACCTGAAGATAGAGGTGAATCCTAATTGTGTGGGTAGAGCTTCTTTCCTGGCTTACATTTAATAGCTTTGTCTCAGACAGGGCTTGGAGACGGACTGGAATTTTGCAACAATTTCTGAACTCTTCTGGAGCCCCTCTCTTCTTTTCCACCTGCTGTAGTGAGTGCTCTCTCTTAAGAGGACACCAGATGCGTCTTCTCTGTCATGACTGCACTGGGATGAATGAAGTCTTTTTCATTTCTTGCGCACACAGCCTGTTTGTCCAGTAGACAAGTATTTGTCAGGCCCTGTCAAGGACCAGGCCCTGTGTGGAGCACTGGGTCAAGACGTCCAGGAGATGTATCCTCCACCCATTTGGGTTTTCGGTGCTTTCTGGGAAGACAACAAAATCCAAGCGAGCTCTGGGGAACGGTACCTGCCATCACCAGAGATAGGTTCAAAGTGTTCTCAGATCCAAGGTCCCCAAATGAAAGCAAGGAAAATAGAACCCTGCTGCCAGGAGGGGGATTCCCATTCCTGAGGACTCTGTCCCTAAGGCTTCCAGGGCAGTAATCTTAGCAGAGGCAGACTGTGAGTCAGAGAGGAGGGTGCGGCAAATAGATGGGAGGTAACATGTGATCTGAGTTACACAGCGCAAGTAGAATTTGAACTGCACAGCATGTGGAAGGCTGTGTGGGTAGAAGTCAAGGGTGTAGAGGAAAAACAAACTCACTGCCATAGATTCAATTCTGACCCATAGGGATCCTATAGGACCGAGTAGAATGGTTCCATCGAGTTTCTGAGGCTGCCAAGCTTTACCGGAGTGCAGTCAGTCTCGTCTTTCTTCATTGGAGCTGCTGGTACCTTTGAACCTAGACCTTGCACTTGGCAGTCCAGTACTTTACCCGCAAGGCCACCAGGACTCCTGCCTTTGGGAAACGAAGGTGGTTATGAATGACTGATGCATACATACTTAGACTGGGGATACACATCGAATTAAGGTGTTTTAATTTTTTAAAACTAGTTTTTT